CCCCATGAGGTCACTGGCCATTGAATCGTAGAATAGTTTGGGTGGGAAAGGACCTTAAAGATCACCTAGTTCCAACCCCCCTGCCATGGGCAAGGACACCTGCTCAAATCTCCATCCAGCCTGGTCTCAAACACTTCTAGGTATGGGGCATCTACAATCTCTTTGGGCAACGTGTTCCAGTGCTTTCCCACTCCCATGGTGAAGAATTTTTTCCTGAGATCTAATCTAAAACTAACTTCTTTCAGTTTAAAACTGTTACCCCTTGTCCTATCACTACACTCCCTGATAAAGAGTTCCTTCTCTTCTTTCTTAGGCTCTCTTTAAGTACCAGAAGGCTGCTATAGGTTTTCCTTCCGGTCCTGTCAGAAAACCTGCTCCAGTGTGTACTCCATAGGCCACCCACAGTTCCTGCCAGAAACCTGCTCCTGTGTGGTATCTCTGTGGGTCACAGCTTTCCTCAGGGCACATCTACCATGCAGCATGGGGTCCTCCATGGGCTTTACAGGGTGGATATCTGCTCTAGTAGAGACCTGGGCTGAAAGGGGACAACCCACATCACCGTGGTCTTCTTCATGGGCTGCAGGGACATCTCTGCTCTGGTGCCTGCAGCACGTCTTCCCCCTTCTTCTCCTCTGATCTTGGTGTCTGTGTGGTTGTTTCTCTCACATTTTCTCATTGCCTCAGGTGCTGTTGCACAACATTTTTTACCCTTTGTTAAATATGTTATCACAAAGGTGTCACCAGCTTGCCTCATTTACTCAGCTGTGTCCTGTAGTGGGTCTATTTTGAAGCCTCCTGGAACTCTGTCCAACATGGGGGCAGCTCCTGATCTTTTCTCACAAATGTCACCCCTGCAGGCCCCCCACTACCAAAACCTTACCATGCCAATGCAATACATAAGTACTAATCAAATTAAATTGAGTCATGCATGCACAGAAATATTTTACTTAATCAGCAGAGGTTCGACCTGTGAATTCTGGTTCGGTTCCAAATAATAAAACTGGGTATATGCTTTTATATTTTTATGAATCAAGGCCCAGAACTGTTTTCTTGAAATGCTAATATGTTATTTTGTAGTATTTACAATTTCAGAAAAAGAATCCAACTTAACTTTTTAAAGTCTTTTATCTGAACTACTGTAGACACGTCCTCTGACAAAAGAGAGGGTTTGTTTTCTTTAGAACTAGGATTTATGCTAACAGCTGCACCTCCCAGTACAAGAGAGATATGCGGCTACTGGAAACAGTCCAGTGAAGGGACACTGCAATGATTAAGTTACTAGAGCATGTCTCATATAAGGAAAGGTTAAGAGAGCTGAGCTTGCTCAACCTAGGGAAGAGAAGGCTCAGGGGCATTTTAATGTGTATAAACACCTGAAGGGAGGATGTAAAGCAGATGGAACCAAACTCTTTCCATTGGTGCCCAGTGATAGGATTAGAGGCAATTGGCACAAACCAAAACATAGTAAATTCTCTCTGGACATCAGGAAATAGTTTTACACTGTGAGGACGACTGAGCAATGGCACTGTTTGCCCAGAGAGGTTGTGGAGTCACCATCTTTTGAGATACTCAAAGACTGACTTGGGAAACTGTCTCGAGTTAGCCCTGCTTGAGCAGGCTGTTCCAACCTCAATCATTCTGTAAATATGAACTACACTGACAACCAGAGATAAAGTATTTGTTCACATCTTAATTTCTGACACCTACCTTTAAATTCAAATTTCCTTAAAAGCAGAAACTGGAAATTTGTAAAGAAAATAATACTGAGGAAAAGTGCTTTTGAACATTACCGTGAAAAATATCCTTTTGATTGAAACCAAGCTCTGAAGTTTCAAAGATAAAACTACATCACCATGTAGTGAATTGGCAGGAAGAGGAGGAAGACAGGATTAAGAAACTAATACTTCTGACCAAGTGTAATCCCTAACACTCCTTAAGACATTAATATCTTAAACTTGCAGTTACCTGTGATTTGCTGGTAGATATATACTGGTTTGAGAGCTTAAAGTTTTGCTTCTACAATTTGTAGAATGATAAAATCTTATCTGACCTTTTGGTTACATAGACATGCCTTTGCTGCATTTCAGAAAGGAAACCATTTTATTAAAAATATCACCAAAAATGTCTTAAATTCATTTTATAAAAGGAGCTCACTGGTGGTTTTCAAGCCATTTAGGGCACCCATTCAAAGTATAAGAGTTGCATTTAATTTCCTCAAACAGTACAATACCAAATTCTGTCTACCTTCACATCGGACAGAAATTTCTCTCAAAAATTCTAAATGTGCACAGATTTCACCTTGCTCACTAGAAGTTTTTGATTAAAGAATGCAAAACATAAAGCTGCTTTGAGCCAGAAAAACAGATGCTATTACTTTTTTAACATTTTGCCCATCTGTGGGGCAGACGGACTCTTGACACATTTTTGATGATGGATAAATTGGATTAGGAGTCCTCAGAACAAGGACAAAGCAAACAAATAAACTTCCCTCCCATCCCCCCAAAAAACACCTCTACCCTCTTCATTATGAATATTCTAATCACTTGATTAAATATCCTTTTTTCTTCTCCCAATTTGGAACATCAGAGTAGCTTTCACACAGGATTTTGTAAGATTAAAGGCAGAAATGCACTGAATCCTATGATAAACTCAGGTGTAATGGGTTATGCCTTCTAGGCCTCTTTGATCAATAAATGAAGTGTGATGCAGATGGTAATGTAAGACAGAAATTAGGAGGTACAATATACCCCTGTACCAGCAAACACAGATGTTGATAGTCCTTTATAAAACACTCCTGAGCTGTACAGTTAATTTTTGTTTTATTACATCTAAACAAGTCCATTCCACCCGGCTCTTGAATTTAAAGACAACTGGTGTCATAACCTAGCTTTATTGCTCTACTTTGACTCACCTGGCATTATTGGAACTCCTAATACTTTTGCTTTAAAGTGTAGATATATTGGATTTTAAAGGCAGTTGTTCAGACAATGAAATAAATTACACAACTTTAGGCCAGCCCTTCATGAAGTGAAAGGGAATTCATGAACTTTAGTCATGTCTCACATAGTCCAAGGCCAAACATGATATAAAGAATATTATAAAGAAAATAGCTCTTAACAAAATATTAGTGGACCCATTACATTTTTTCATACCATTGGGTAGCTGTTTCTGGGAATTCATTTAGAGAATCACATAAAAACATCTGAGCATCTACCTGACATACAAAAAAATCAAAACACTCTTAGGTGAAACAACAGGTTTTAACATCTGTCCATACCCATCTAATATCAACCATTTCTTAGAAATATCTGTAATGAACCCAGTACAGCAGCTGGACTGTAGAGATAAATCATATTAGTGAAAAATGTCATGGTCTGTGTGTGCTTTTACTTTGTTTTTTTTTTAAAGTAAAGTGAGAATTTTAAACTTACCTTATTAGTATTGATAGCTGTGATGACCCACACACATTGAGCATTGCTGTCATACTGGAATGGAAAATTGGGTGATGTGAAAGTGCCTCCAGGTCCCTGAAGACTGGATCCACAAGTCTTGACTGCAAAAAGCAAGTTTACCTTTTAACACACATATAAAACACATGTACCAAGTACCAAGGTACCAAGGTCTAACTTATATTAAACAAGATATGAAGGATTAAAATGCCATTGATGAAAAACAGAACCACCTCATACAAGATAATAGAATATGCATGTTTAGATAGTCTCACAAACTAAAATAGAAATCCTTTTGTGTTCAAGCTTATAAACTTAAAAAAAAATACAAAAAACAACAATGTATTTGGAGTAAAAAGTGTAACTATAGCAAGTGAACTTAAAAACAATTCAGGAAGTATTTTTTGTCATCTTCACTAATGTCTTGAAAGACAAAAAGTTTCTATAGCAGAACAAAAAGATCATTTTTTACTACTATGCATTATTTGTGCACATGTATTGATGTATGGCATACTAACATTTTTTCCACTGTAATCACTATTCAACCCATTTAACCAAAGGCTGAAGGACTGAAAATTGTACGGGAAACCTGTAAAAGTTAGACTTACACAAAATAGTATTATTTATTTGTAAAGAATATACAGGGCATTTGTTTACAAATCAAAGTCTGTATGGTTATTTACAGGAGCATATCTTAAATAAAAAACCCACCACTATCCTTTATGCATCTCACACTACAAATAACGCAAAAGACAAAAACCATGTCCCTTCTGCTTGAGAATGACATTTTTGAGGCACTAAATTCATAGTCTGCCGAAGTCAAGAGAAGTTTTATTGTTGGTTCCCTGATATTCAGATATTTGCTGAATGCACTCCTGGTTAATTTTTTCTATATGAAGCTGCAGAACTGACAAGCAACCTCAGCTAAATATGAGCTTATCTTATTTCTCCAGTGATTATTACAACATCACCAATAAACGATAGAAGCTAAAGAATTATTGTTTCCTCTGTATTCTGACAGACATCTTGCTTAACTGATTAAAAAAACTCACAATAAGATATGTGAAGTGACAATAGATCTGTACCACACTTTGACAAAGCTCATTTATTTGATCAATATTGAACATAGGAACATTTATCTCCTACTGGATGAAAACTTGTTCCCTCTTCTCATTAGCTTTAGGAAAGAATGTTACTGTTTCCACCCAACCTGCGCCATATTTACACCTCAGAGACCAGTATGCTGGTGAAGAGTCTGTGCAAAGCCACGCCAGAAGCCTGAAATCAAGGAAAGAAGAAGACTCCTCATTTATGATCAGTAGTCGAAGCCACTGAGATCATGAGTGAGACCTGTTTTTAATATGAAATTGTATGACTCTTGCAGTATGTGTCTATGTGTGGGAAGAAAGTCAGGACAGGGAAATCAGTGGGTCTTCTAGACACAATCTGAACCTGTGAATCCATCCTTTGGGCCAAAGTTGAGACATAAAGCACATCTTTTCTTGCAGAGTTATGAGTTGTGCTTGCTGCTTTTTCTAAGAATAACTGCATAGTGGAAGTCTCAAAGGAAAGACATGTCATTCCATAGTGGAATGTCCTGAATAAGACTTTGACTCCTAATTCCTAGGATTCATACGCATTTGAAATATTCCTAACAGTCATTTGCTTTCAGTACCATAGTCTGAAATCCAGAACTAAAAAAAGAATACAATCACAAATTAAATCAACCACTTGATTTTGTAAAGTCCGGTTAAGGAGAGAAAAGGAGTGATTAAATATGAATCTTTATTCATTTGAAAACACAAACATAAGAAGCAGTAAATATCAAGCTATTAGCTATGCTTATTTACAGTATAGGAAGGCTTCTGGTACAGCAACATAAAATACTGAAATGTTGTGGGTTAATACTGAATTTCTTTGGAGTTAAGGGGAGAAAATGTATACCTTTAGGGTTTTAATGTCTATAAATGATTATCTCACTGCATTTGTCAAGTGACAGATGAAAAAAAAAATCTCTGTTTTCTGGTGGTTATCAGAGTACTTTCTGCTCAGTAATAACTATAGTGAAATCAATGTTCTACTGTCAATGTGGCAACGTAATATTCTAATAGACTAATAATCCAAGTTTGCTAATAAAACACAATAAAAAATTCCTACGTGATTTCTTTACACAGTAATTTATATTTGCTTCGACCTCAGTACTGTATCTTCTCCTTCAGTATCCTTTTTTTTTCCTTTTATCCCATTACCTGTGGTATTTATCTGAATAAGTATCATTTTGGTTTAAGACATTCTTTGACAATCCTTCTGAATTCAAGTAGATGCTAAGTGCATACTGCCTTTCGTGGCTCTGTGCTGATTCTTACAACATTGCAAAGAGCAAGTGAAGTAGATAAAAAAAAAATTTAACTGTTTCCACTGGATGTTGGAATTACTAACTCAGACAACTGATTTACAGAGCTCTTCACACAAGTAAGTCTATTTGACATGAGAAGAGTTTACAGATAACTTTAAAGTTGCAAAACTAAAAAAACAACCCAAAAAACATAATATCATGTAACATCTTTTCCTGGACTTCTTGAATATGTCCCTACTTATTTTAAGTATTTGAGAACCCTGCCGTACAGTTGCCGTTATTTAGTTGTCACCTACATAGGTGACTAGTTACCTGTTTCCAAAACACAATGAAGAACAGAAGGTTCATTCAGATTCATTCACCACGAATAGATCCTTCTGACTTAAGAAGCTTCTCTGAGTATAGACATATGTGTTACCGGAGTCCATCAAATTTCATTGATTACTGCCTCAGGTCAAGACTGTGGCAATACAAGCTAGGTTCAAATCATTGGCTGATATCTGAGCTGCCATATTTTGCAGAAATGGACATACTAAAAGTGTGAATATAGGGAAATTAGACAATACTATAATTAAGAAACAGATTAGTTCCATTCCAGATTAATCTTCTGTCTTCAGAGATTTCTGTACTGGCTTTGGTTCATTACTATTCAGCAAGAATTTGCTTTCTTTTTTGGAAGTGATCTAAAGGCATGAATTAGATTACTACTTCTCTGGAGATAATTCATGTGTTTGAAGATTAGTTCTGATTGTGCTCCTGAATATTTTATACAGTATTTGGAAATACATAAGCATAGAGACATGGATATTTAATATCTCCAAAAACAAACTCTAAATTTATACTAAGAACTTAGCGTCACAGATGTATATTGAACCCATTCAATTACTTCACTTACTCAATCACAGTAGTAACAGTTCACTAAAATACAAATATTGAGACCTATAAAATTTTACCCTTTAGTATTTTTCATAAAATAGGAATTTTACCACACCTCTCTAGAAGCAAACTGCAAGACATCAATATGCATGATCTACCATTTAGAGTTAACAAGGTTTTGATGTTTCTAAGTCATTATATTTATTGGAAGATAAAATTAAAGTTTTCTTATGCTACCAGACCAGATTTCAGATGCACTGTAAAAACAGAAAACATTTTACATGCAACAGACAAAAACAACTCATGAGATCTCACTGTCCTCTAAGTACAGACTCAGATCTTGGTATGAGACAGAAATCAGTAAACTGGTGGAATACTTTTGCTGTTCCTGTACTCCAGTCTGGTCTTCAGAAATTATGCCTAACATTATGCTGAGCTCTGGCATTTATGTCAATATACAAGATGCAGAAGATACAAATTTTTTCAGATAGTTTTCTCAAGTCTTGCTTAAATTAGTCAAAATTTAAAAACATAGACTGACAGCAATTAGCTTTTGGTGACAATTGCTTTAAAGTATTTTCAAAATTTTAGAAGTTTTAAGAAGTTTTCCCAAATTTTCCCTGTACGTAGATATTACATCTATTCACAACTACTTATCATTCAAATTAAAAACAGGAATATTTTTCATGCTGCACAGCATTAGCTGAGATACTGGACAATATTTAAGCTACTTAAGTGCAGTAATTTCTTCAAAGTTCTTTTGCAGTGTAATGTAGTAGATTTCTTTAACTTCACAAATCTGCAATGCGTAACAGCTTTTCAAGGGCAACATTATCACACATAAAAGCTTGAAGATAGCAATTTTTGGTGAGTTAGTTTTAAATTAAACTACCGTTTTATGCTTGGAGAGTTCAATTGTTCTGCCAATATAAACAGCAGTATGTTTAGCTTGTTAATGGTGTTCCAGTAATGTTAGTTCTGCATTAATGACTTTCACCACAAAGTATGCACTGTAATCTCAATTATCACCATGACTCTAGACAAACTTAAAATCATAAATAATCAGGAAGGACGTTTAAGATTTAAGCACACTCTTTATTCTTCACTCTTTGTTCAGGAAAAATACAACTCTTGTACTTCTTTATTTTAGTACAGCTTTTTTAATTTTGGTTATGTTTCTGAAAGAGAATGTAAGACTGTCCTAATGTTTATTTAATTTTAATGTAGAAGAAGAAGAAATGATAAAGACAAGGAAAAAAAAATGCTTAAATAGAGACAACATTGTAAAGAGGTCAAAATTGTCTAAGCAAATACTCATAGCCAGTAATATGAAAATCATATTTTGTTGAAAACTTAGTATAGAATGATGCAATTTGTAGCCATTGCCAAAAGACAGAAAATAACCACTACAATCAATACTGTCTTGGCACTTGATTAAGCTTGGAGGAAAAAGCCTTGGTGTACAAACTGGGCAAAAAAACCAATCTATTTTTTTCTGCAAATTTTGACTGAGGACGGAAGATGTTATAGCAGAGTTTTTAACCACCTTTCAAGAATTTATCAATCTGTCTGTAAAAGAAAAATTAATTAATACTCAAAGTATATTGAATTTGTTAAAATGAAAATAGTAACTATTTTATATTAATAAGCACCAATTAATTGCCTAAGAATAAAAATATAATTGATGACTATAAGATAATGGGATGAACACCTACATACCAAGCTATGGAAGGAATAGTATCCATAAGAAAGTGAATAGTTTTCACACTATAATCAAAGTTTTGCAATTACAGATTTTCTCTTTATTTCACACAACTAAAAGAAAACCTCACTGCATTTTTATTTCAGCTTTGAAAGCACTTAAAATAACCA